GACCTCTTCGGCTAGCTGTTTTTCTTCAGACAATCCCATAGCTCGATCAAAAATATCACAAATCAAGGGCAGAACAGAAACATCGTTCTGAAGATGGGAACGACGATAAAGCCTGCGCAATCTGCGACGAAAGGGTAAGCGTAGGAAAACCTCATCCTCAACATTAATTATTTTCTTACGGGGAAAAAACGAGAAATAGGCGGATCAAAAATTTCGTACAGATTTGCAGTGCAAACATTTACATCCAAACTAAGAAAGAAATCAGTCCAGTCGTAGGAATTAAGGTGTGTTAATAATTCGGTTGAGCGAGTTGATCGGATCTTGGTCAGAAGTATGGTTAGTGAACGGTACACCACCGAAAGCGTCAATGATCGGACATTCTTAGTAGATATGGTAACGCTTAGCAGTTCCCGTTCCGGTCTGTGTACATCAGCCATAGCGCTAAGCTTGCAAGTGACATAAATTATGACTCCTCCTCCTCGGCCTAGTCTATCTCTCCTGAATTGCTGATATCCTCTAAGTGATATTTATGAATCTGCGATATCTTCAGTAAGTCACGTTTCTGTGAATGTCATAATGTCTGGCTTAATTTCATCAACTAAGTCTCTTAGTTCGTCTAGTTTGTTGAAGAGGCTTTGCACATTTGCGGATATAACCTTCAATGACTGATTCGTGGGAGAGGCCCGGCCTTCATTGTGACGGGTTCTGACCACAGGAAAGACCACTTTGTCTGGACTATTTGTCCATTTTTGATCTTCAGCCCTTTCTCTCCTCTGCCAATTCTCTCCTTCAATTCTGATCTCAGTTCTCTCATTTTCAGTCTTTCCCTCGGTTCGTAGTCTGGTTGAAAAAACACTTCCTTGTGCGAATTGCGTAAGGTCGTTCTACTTTCTAACAAAAGCGGACACTTTCCAGATGAGTTAGCCTCGTGAAGAAATGGAGTAACAGCATTGCCTTCCAAGAATAACGGCGAGTCCTTGTAGTTTCTAACAGATCTTCTGAGGGTCACCCTGGCTTTCCCAAATTTAGTGTTCGATGATTTGGCAGGTTTAGTTATTATAGCAGGTTATGGAACCTGACTTATTTTTAATGCATTAGTGTCGACCGCCACGTTATCCACCGGAACTGAATTGTCTAGAGATTCCTCTGGAGACATAACTCGCTTCCTCTTCCTGACTGGCTTTGACTTTTCCGCACTAGTGCCTTTATTAGTAGGATGTTCGTCGCCGATCGATCGGAAATTTGGCGGATTATTTGGTAATTCTATCTTACTGTGCTTAAGA